AAACTCATGACCTTGTGCTTGTGCTGCTGAGCTAAATCTCCAGCCCCTCTGTGCACTTTATTTAATAATAATATAATATTACTATTTTCTTTTTTATAGCAAATGTAATATGAATGATTATAAGGGGTATAAAAGATATGTGTGCTAAGTTATGAGAATGCTATACTATTTTCCAAATTTTATGTCAATTGAAAACTTATTCTAAAAATAAAGTTTATTTAAAAGAGTTTACACGTGTAGAATACACTTGTGTTTAAAAACATTAAAATAATTGAGGAGTATGAAGTTCTGTCTTCTAGCTTTAATTGCTTATGACAGAAATATTAATAATTTTGTTCATATATTATTTTTCTAAAAATTATCTGGGCATATATAAATGTGTGTGTGCATTGGTGTGTGTGTGTATATGTGTGGGCATGTGTGTGTATTCTTTTTTTTTAATTTTAAAGAGAGTAGTAAATGAGAAACAAAGAAATAGAACAGTAGCAGCATACCAGTATCACAAACATAAACAAATCAAAGCAAGAACATTCAAAATGATACAGAGTCTCAAGACAAAATAATATGACTAAACAGTGGTTGTTACATTACATACCGCTGTCCTCAACTACATTGCTCAGATTACCAGATGTACCAATGAAAGATTGCTCAAACCATTATAGGGAATAAGAAAATAATTCTTCGATAAAACAGTAAAGATAATACTGAGTTTCACTAGACAAGATGGTAGGAGTTCACCATTGTAATTCCAGTGCATATTGTTACCTTCAAACAGTTGCTCTTTCTTAGTAAGATTTCTTTTGCAATTTGCTCTTTATAATTTATTCAATAAGCTAATCTGAACATTGTTCCATGAGGCATATGGTCTATGGCACTCCAATGACAGGTGATATTCTATATTATATATGTACTGTGCTTATATTATTTCTAACTCTGGCTGATGGAATTGGTCATGCATATATACTTTAAAGAAACATTCTTGCCTATATCTGTCACATCAGCCTATTGTTTAAATTAAAAGTTTGAGATATAAAAAATTCTTTCATTTTCTATGCACTATGATTTTGGGATTTTATGTCTGATTATACATAAAGATAATTTTATTATATCATCTATTATTAATTTCACTGTTTTGTTAGGATGTTTCATCTCTCTGGAAAGTATTCTTTGCATAGTATGAGTAGGGACATCTTCTTTTTTACCTAGAAAGGAGAATTGTTTTAGAATATTATTACATAGGGCATCACCACCCTAGAGTTTGAACCATGATCTTTTAAATATGTGACACTCTTATAAAAATATGGAATTGATTACTATCTTCATTGTAGTCTATTTTTCTATTTGTCTTTTTTTTTTTTTTTTTTTTTTTTTTTTTTTTTTTTTTTTTTTTTACTTTTTGAGACAGGATTCCACTACGATGTTCAGGCTGGCCTCGAACTCGTGGTGATCCTTCTGCCTCACCCTCACTTCTGTTTGTCTATTCTTGTGTCATCATCTGTCTTAATTAAAGTAAACTTACAACATGATTTTATATCATATCTTGTGAAATGAGTTCCTCCTTTTGTAAAAATTCTTTGTAGTTATTGTGAAAGATAAAATTAAAGAATAAGCATTTTAAAATGATTTTCCGTGTATCTTCCTCTTTTTCTTTTCTTCCCCTCTTATTCCCCTTCCTCCTATTCTTGCTTATTCATTTTTGTTGTTTATCTCACCTGGAATATTTTTGCTATGCTGTTTGGTTTCTTGTTCTTATTGTTTCAATTTATGTGGCTAGAATTTTCAATGCAATGTTTTTGTAAAAAATTCCCTAAATGGAAACATTATAGTAAAACATTTACAGAAGCTATTGGTTTAATATTTAAATTTAGCCAACTATCTTACCGAGAGCCATTTCTTCTATTTAGTTTTGTGAAGTTTACTATGGATGTTCTTTTTGGGAAATGATATCAAATTCATATCATGAACACAATTAATTCTGCCCTCAAAATTAACTTGATGTAAGAAACCAAGAGTATCACTCTAGTATTTACATAATATACATATTTACTGTTAATTTGTTCCACTAGTTGCTATTTAGTGAACATGTTACCTTAAAACAATAATGTTTATGTTTATAGTTATGATAAATATTTTCCTAAATATGGCATGAAGCCAATTACTAGGCCACTTTTTTTATATGGAAACTATATTCTGATTAAATGTAAGTATTTACAAATGTTAGGGCAAATTATATAAATGGTTTTAACTTAAACTCCTCTGTCTTGAGAAAAGAGTCTGATTATTATGGGAAAATCTAACTAAATCAAACTAATACATTCCCTTGATTAAACTATAAGCACATTGACAAATAAAATCTCCTTTAATCCTGAGTTTAAGGTCTGAAGTTGGACATCATTATCTTTTTTGTAATTGCCTAGCAATCAAGTTAAGATAGAGACAAGTCCTCATGTAACTCTTTCATTCATATAAATTTGTTGTGGTTTTTTGCCTGAAGTGCAAACAATAGCTCTTCCTTTGGTTAAGATTTGAAAGTGAGGGCTCTCTCTTTATATTTCAAAATCAGATTGCTTTGTCCATCTCTCAGCCTTGAGAAATAAGATTTGCAGTAGGAGCAGCGTAGTATGAGAGAGAGACAAAGTAAAAAAGAATCAGTTATGAAGAAACAAAATGGTAGAAGAATTGTGATTAATGGGAACCAGTAGAACATGGCAGGTTGGTGTCCATGGCAAGTATAGATGGGTGAAAGCTGTGGGTGGCTGGGATGATGGTAGATGAAATTTGATTCAGGGAGGCTGTGAGTAAATTGTAGTGTGATATGTCTCAAATGTGCTGCTAAAAATGTGGAGAGTCTGACAAAACTGCAGTCTGAGAAGCTTGCCCACAATACTCAAGTGACACGCAGAAGTTCACACGCCTCCTCTCCAGATGCCACCGTGAAACAGAAACACTGTGCCACTTTGAATCCTGTGGCATCTTTTTGTTAAGTAAAACATTGTTGCTGAAGTCTATGATAAGGTAGTAAGTAATTTCTTAGTGGTGAATATCAAGAGTGTTCACTAATCTCAGAATCACTGCAAAAGGCCAAGGCTGCACGAGTGGTTGAATGTTAACTCCCTGAATGGTGGCTTCTTTCTGATTAAGTATAAGAGTTAAGAACTGGCCCTAAGCATCAAGGATGGAGATTCAGTTTGGGTGAAGGAAAGAATAGTCAGATCCAGGCAATACATGGTTTGAATTTAAATTTGTTTGTTTTTTGTTTACATATCAATATACATTGAGTGGTGAAGTCCATTCGGAAATGCTTCACTCAGTTGCACAGTCAGTTTTACATTTCTAGAAAGACTTTACAGGTTTGGATGATCCATTTTTTTGTGTGTGCTTTAGATAATTTATCTAACTGAAATGCCATACACTAACTTCCATTTATTCTGCTACATCTTTTCCCCATGGTGATTTAGAAGATCATCAAGCCAAATATTTCACAAATATTTGGCCGGTTGAGTGTACACCTGCACAATACCTCACATCTTGCAGCGAGAAAAGTACTGATGAGTAAAGACCTGACACAACAAACTAGGTACAGTGAGAATCTGCCCCAAATATTTGCTTCTCTGAGCTAAAGGTGCCACACATCTGTTCAATTAAGAAAACAGTCCTTACAACACAGGACAGTCTTTTAATTCTGAGTAGGGCCTACAACACTTAGCCGCTCATTAGGTGCTGAGTGGCAGAGCTCCACTCCCAGCTCATGCCATGAACTCATAGGGAGCAGGTTCCAGCAGCTTGGGTTCCTTCCCATTGGTTCTCACAAAGGGTGCTTCTCTGGACGAGGCAGGCTGGGGCACCTTTGAATCCAGAGGCCTTTCTCTTTGGCTTTCTTCTCTTTCTGATCACTTTCCTTGATGCATTTCAGGAAACTATCTCAACATGGTAGACTCTTCCAGTTTTGCCCTGGTAATATTTCTGTGGTGTTCCTTTTGGAAAACTACTCATTGTCTTGATGTCACAATAGCACCCTTTGTGTACATTCACAGACGTGTGGCCATAGGAACAACCCCATGTTTCCTAAAGGGCCTGGAGGACATGAGCTGGCTTCCTTTCCTCTTCCCCTTTCTGATTGTCAGTTTGGCAGATTACTAGAAGATGGTGTTTCCAGCAGAAAGGTGGATGATAAATTTATCCTGTCTTTAAAAAATTTCTTTTGGACATTTTCATCTTTTTGTATGGTGTGGGACAGCAACATTCAAATAATTTTAAAATTTGGGCTTTTTAGAAATAGTGCACTACTTTTCTTAATATTCTGTGCATTTTATATTTATCCTTCATCTCTTAGAATTTTGAAGAACTTTACAGAAGCTTCTCTTTCATGCAAGAAGCATAATCAGAAAGTTGGTCTGAATATGTTCCCTCCACATGCTGGAGATTTAATTTCCAGGGCTGGGGATATAGTTCAGTGGCACAAGCGCCTGCCTGGCAAGCATAAGGTCGTGAGTTCGAACCCCAATACTGCAAAAAAAAAAAAAAAAAAAAAGAAATGTAATTCCCAAAGCAATTGTGTTGGGAGTTGGAAACCTTGCGGGCAGTGTTGAAGTTCTCAGGGCTTCACTTTCTTTTTCTTTTTTTTTTTTTTTTTTCCCCCGGCACCAGGAATCGAACTCAAGACCTCGCGCTTGCCAGGCAGGCGCTGTGCTGCCGAGTTAAATCCCAGCCCCAGGGCTTCACTTTCATGAATGAATTAAAGGTACTATAAAAAGGCCCCGTGGGTGTAGGTTTGCCTTCCTTATTGCTCTTCTGCCATTTAAGGACACAACAGTTGTCCTCTCTTGCCCTTCTGCATTTGGCCATCTGAGGACACAGCAAGAAAGCCCTTAGCAGACGCCAATGACATGGTCTTGGACTTCTCGGCCTTCAAAGCGGTGAAGAACGAATTTCTGTACTGTAGAAAGTACCTGTTATGCGGTGCTCTATCCTAGCCACACAGATGGATGGGGCACTCGGAAACAGGAAAAACAAAGCTGAGCGCTGTCAAGAAAGGAGAGATGGAGTCGGGGCTCGAGCAGCATGGTGAGAGCTGTTCTATAAATACCTTCGGCCTTTCTCAGAGATGCTGCTTTCAGTGCAAATGACCCGTTTTTTATTTTGATTTCGACCTAAGCGCTCTTTATCTAAATTATACGATAAACATAATTTATTTATATTTATGTAAATAATGTGACATGTTTTTTGAGTAACAAAATATTTTCAGTCCTAGAAAAGCAAGGTTCTGGTGACCACAGTGACTTTGGCAATAAGGTTGAGGGCCACCGAAAGAAGCCATGAGGTCCTATCTTGGAACACAATTTCAAGATGGTTTGTAAGAGGATGTCTCTCTCTTATAATGGGATAACCTTAGTGAAGTCTATATATGTGAAAACAGGAAGCAAATACATTTGCTTTCCTTCAGTATCTTCTAATGATCTTTCCTTTGTATTTTTTCACACATTCATTTTCTGCTATTCAGACTGTAAGAGACATATACATGCATTTAAACACATATCATTTCATTTCTCCTTTAATACTACAAATTAACATATGAAAACATCTTAAATTTCTGTTGTGTGTCAAAATGTTGTCCATTTTACACCTGGGCAAAATGAACAACTACATAGACTCATGAACTGAAAAAGAATAGTGCTTTCATTGCCTCCGTATAAATAGGAAAATATAGCCCCGATCTAATATAAAGAGAGCCTGGATTTATTGAAGCAATATTTCAAAATGCAAATTGTATTATATTTTAACTTTCATTTTAAGCATATTTTAGTTAAACAAAATGAAAATGTTTGACATAAAAATAATGAAGTTATGGAGGAAATGAAATTAGTTTTAAATTTTTCTATGTGTTTCTAATTGGAATGTTGGGGTTATTATTTGTTTTTGCTTTTACTTTGTTTTTAAATGGGAAAAATAGAAAGCTATGGTTGTGGAGTACATGGCTCAAGTGCGATCTTCTAGCAAAGCTAAGTCAGGCGTACAATAAAGAAAACTGTTTTGTGTTGTAAGTCAGTTTCAGTTTAGAAAAGAGTTCCATGTATTGCTTATTTTGTCTTGCTCGTAATGTCAAATTTGGGTTACGATTTCCTTGCGGAAGCCAGAAAAGTGAAATACACAATTTAAACGCATTTTCTAATCAAGACGTATAAACAGATTTGGTGTATTATGTACACTTGTATTTATCCCGAGAAACAAAGAGCTGAAGCCACTTAACCATATATGTTTGTCTATTTCAATGCTTTGACAATGACAATATGCACACAGTTTAGGAACTGTACACATTTCTCCCCCAGCTATGTGTATGGTACTAACAATATTCTCCTTGAACTATTTTAACCAGTTAGAAAATCCTTTTCAAACAGCCATACTTTCAGTTTTGAACAGTCCTTTACATTCGGACTTGTACCTCGAATTTGTGTATTGTTCTCAAAGGGGGAACAGTGAACCCTGGAATGCATTTTTCATACTATGTGCTAAAAACGTGATCCTTTGTATTTAGAAGCTAGACCTTGGTTCAATTTGAATTCTACTAAAAAGCTATGTAACAGAAAAGTACACTATTTACATACCTTCTGTATAAACAATATTCAAAAAATTTAAAGTAATTGTAAATATAATTTTAAAACAATTACGCAACCCTACATTAGAATGGAAAAATTTTATTAACACATTTTGCCGTCCATGAAGTTTGCATTCATCTTAGGGAATAAATGCATGTACATAACACAGTTTGATTTTTTTTTTATTATTTTCCCCTTTCTACATACCTCCCTCCCTTCTTCTCCAAAACCCTTTCCTCATCTTTATTCTTCTTGTTATTATTATTATTATCATTATTATTTTTGGTGCATGTTTATGGCATATTACGTTTATATTCATTGTGGGTATTTGACACACGAAAGTAATACATCCTGAGTCTTTTAATATCTCCTTCCCCACTCCTTCTCCTTACTTATTTCCAAAAGATCTATTTCCTCCTGTCTTTCTGTCCATAAATTATTTTGTTTTTTATTTGTACTTCGCCTTACTCAAATGAGAGATACCGTATGATAATTCAGCTTGTGTGTCTGATTTATTTCACTTTGCATTAATGCTAATCGGTTTGGTTTTCTCAAATTTTTGCCAGATACTTGAAACATATCTCCCAGACGTCCTTAAAACATTTCCTCCCCTGTGTATGGTTTATAGTATCTCTGCTTCAGTCCATCATGCAAGTTATATCCTGTTGTATATCATGACCATTCTTCCGGACAGAGTTCCATAATCCAAGTACTATTTTATAGTGAACAATAACACAACTTTTTCTTTCTTTCTTTTTTCAGTACTAGGATTGAATTTGGAGTCTTCAAATTGAACTGCATCCTCAACCTTTCCTTTCCACAAATCTTTTATTTTGAAACAATGTCTCTCTAAATTGCCTGGGCAGGCCTTGAACTTACAATCTTTCTGCCTTAGACTCCCAAATGCTGGGATAACAGGCATGCATCACTGCCTGAAGCTAGTACAGCTTTTTGAAAACCACTTTAAGCCAAATCTTTTTCATTAATCTACCATTCACTTATCATATTATTATTATCATTATTATTAGCCATAGCAGAAGTAGTAGTAGAGTCCCCAGTCTGTTCCAGGACAGCGCTTGTTAGTCATTGGTACAGATACAGCTCTCACCCTCAAAGATTGTGCTTTAGATGGAATAGGAAACAGTTAATTCAAGGAGCTGAGAATGTTATGGGGCTAAAAGTCTTGTGAAGATGCCGAGTGAGTCATTTGTAATCTTGCCTTGAATATTTAGAAAAGGAGAGTCAGAAAATGTGATATCTAAGCTGAGACAAAAAGGCCAAGCAGAACATAGCTATTAATGATACGAAGGTCAGTGAGGAAGAGAGCGGGTATGGAAGCGGGGTTGTAGGTGGCAGAACAGGGACGTCTCAGGCAACCTCTAGTAATTTGAGGTCCTGGAGAACAGGGCATCTTCACACCATCAGGAGCTCCTCGGAGGCCTGCAGTGAATTTGAACTTTATTCTGAGAACATGGGGACACTTTGGAAGGAAGAAACTGTGCAAACAGGTTGAGTGAGAGGATATTTTACCTTTTCACATGATCACTGAAAAAGGGTCAAGATTTAAGGCAAGGGGATCAGGAAAGAAGTCATCACAGTAATATGAGCAACAAGCGATGGTGCCTTGAGCTCTGTCAAGAATAATTAATTAGGAATTGGTGATGAATTGGGTGTTTGGGGGTGTTGGGCTATTAATTTAGTACATTAATTGCCAAGTGTCAGATCGCAGAAGACTTCTAAAGAACTCTGGTAAACTCCAACAGAGCTGTATTGATACTAATTCAAGATATCTGTGTTCTTGGAAAAAAGCATGGATAAATCTGCCATATCAACACAATAGCCATCTCTACACTCTAATCCAAAAATCAACCTGAGCATGAGCAATAGTGGATTGGGCAGAAGATGTGCCTGAATTTAAGATTCTCATCCTCCAGGGATTTTAATGATCATAATCTCATAAGTGCTCTTAAGTTTGGAGGACAGGAGCAACACTTGGCACAAATCCACTTTGTATTAGTAGCTACACATGTGGTTTTGAGCTTCAGAATAGCAGTGAGGTCATTACTGTTGGGAAATTTTAAAGCAGTAGAAAGTGGGAAAACATGCATTCCAACTTATAATTAAAGGCATTTGAATTAAGGTTGTTTGGGAGTACTTGTAACTTGAAGGAACTGTTAAGAGAAAAGGAGAAAACTAAAGACAAAAAGTACCATCTGAAAAGGCTTTTGGCAAAATGAACTAAACATTAACAAAGAAGAAGAGCATTCTCATACTGAATTTCAGTTGCTTTTGTATAGCAATGTGCCCTTTGTTGTAGTTTGTTTTTTTTTTAATGTGTGTTTTCTTTAGGTATGAAAATGAAAGAAAGAGAAGAAAAAATAGCCCCCTTCAAGAAAACTTTTCTGAGTCACAATATACTTATGACTACTTACTACTCAGTCTCTTTAAGAGCTATTAAAATCAAAATAAAAAACCACAAGCTCATGAACTTCTGTTAGGACTACAGCATAAAAACCCTCTTTCCAAGATGAAATGTTCTACACTTTACATTGCATTCTCTACTCTTCATAGTCTGAAGAGAAAAGTAGCAAAGATGATTTCCTACAAAAAAGTAGACTCCCTAGTTGAAATTAATTTTATTTATTTTTTAGTTTAGTTTTAACTTTTTTATCCTGAATCTTAAACAGGTACAGAAAATAAACAACAAAAATATTAAATTCAATGATTTCTTAAAAAAGGAACACCCTTAAAAACATGATTTAGAAAGAAATAGAACTAAGACTCAGAAATATCCCTTGTATACCCTAGTTACTGTCCCTTACTTTCCTTTCTTCAAGATTTCCATTACCATAATTTTTATGGTAATCACATGCATGCTTCTCTTTATAGATATACCCTATAATTATGTGTCTTTAACATTATAGGTTAGTGCCAGATTGTTGAAATTTATGTGAATGGAGTCATCTAGTGCACATTCTTTTATTTGGGAGGTCTTTCATTTCATATTATGTTTGTGACAATCACCCAGTTTTGTTCTGGGTTGTAGAATTCATAAAAATTCAAACTACTGCAAATGACGCAATTCATAAAAATGGTGCACATATACCAGAATTTTTGGTACCTACTTCTGCTGGGTTGTTCCCAGCTTAGGGTAATTAGCTACAGTGCTACTATAACGTTCTTGTTCATATCCCAGTGCTCATGCATTCACTTCCTCTTGGCATGTAAGGGCGAGGCAAGTTACTGAGTCAGTAAATAGATAAAGAATGTCACAGTTTTCAAAAAAATTATACTGATTTACATTTCAGTCGTCAAGTTCTTAAGAGTTCCATTTGCTGCACATCTTTACCGACACTTGTGTCTGTCGCCTGTTGCCTCTGAAGGCATTCTTGTGCGTGTTTACTCACTTTGGTTCTATTTTTCATTTTCTTGATTACTAATACAGTAAGCCCTTTTCTACATGCTTATTCA